CATTCTTCTGGCCTCTGCAGGTACCAGGAATGTTCATGGTATACATACATACAAGCAAAACACTTGTACCATAAAATAAAAACAAATAATTCTAAAATAACATTATAGGACTCAAAAAAATTCAAGTCCTATCCAGACTTTGTGGACTAAGACAGGTTAAGTTTCAACCTCAGTGTGTTCATTTATAAGAATGAAACTATTGGTAGTTATATAATAATTACAAGGAATAAGTCATAAGTGATAAATAAATATTGTCTACTTTTAGATACCTTACTTGCATGGTTGTAGAATGGAATGAAAGATTTATGGCAAGACAAAGCTTGATCTTTACAACATAAACACATTTTCATAAATCTCTTTTTTAGTATTGCTATAACTACATTCCACTAATTTTGGTAGGCTGAATTTTTATTTTTAATAAGTTCCATGTATTTTAATTTTTGAGACTTTTTCTTTTACTCATGAAATACTTCAAAACATATTTCAACGTTTCTAAGGGCTCATGATTGTTCTTCTGTTTTTTTTTTTTTGTTTTCTTTTGTTGTCTGTTACTGATTTCCAGTTTGGTTCCACTCTAGTATAGGATTTCAGTGTGTCCGAATGTGATATTTGTTGTATGTCCCAGGACATGGTCTATCTTTTCCATATACATTCAAAGTACCTTTTTTTCTAATATGCAGAACTCAGATTCCCAATAGTGAGAAGAAAAACAAATTTCCGTACAACAGAATACTACTCAGAAATTATTTTAAAAATAAGATGTTAATATATACAACAAAGCAGTTAGACTACAGAGTATTAGTTAGGGTTCTCCAAAGATATATATGTGTGTGTGTGTGTATATATATATATATATATATAGAGAGAGAGAGAGAGAGAGAGAGAGAGAGAGAGAGAGAGAGATTTATCAGCTTAGCTCACAGGATAGAGTCCGAGTAGTCCAACAATGCCTGCTCCTCACTGGAGAGGCTGAGAATCCGTAGTTGCTCAGTCCGCAAGGCTGGATGTCTCAGTAGTCCCAATCTGACGCTGAAGGTCTGAGGAATTCCAAAAGATCAGCTAGTCTTCAGTCTACAGCAGCAAGATGAACTCACCAGCGAGAGAGAAGGCAAGCAGCAAGAAGCCTGGCATTCTCCTCTACCTTGGTCTTTTATACCGGCTGCCATCAGAAGGTAACGCCCACATTTAGGGTGTGTCTTCCAGCTTCAGATGATCCGGTCAAGAAGATCTCTCTCATTTCAGTTAATCCCAGGTCCAGTCAAATTGACACCCAGGATTAGCCATCACACAGTACATACTATATGAATTTTATTTATATAAAATTCTATAAAATGAAGGTCGAGCGTGGTGGCACACGCCTTTAATCCCAGCATTTGGGAGGCAGAGGCAGGCGGATCTTTGTGAGTTCCAGGACAGCTGGAGCTACAGGGAGACCCTGTCTCAAAAACGAAAAACAAAAAATTTCTATAAAATGAAAACTCACCTATAATGACAGAGAGCAGGCAGATATTTGAGAGTCATATAATACTTGATTAGTAGGCATGGGCTTTGGATTTAACTCATAATACCTACTCCCCCCAAAAGATAGTGTTAGTGAAGGTTTGTGGTTGTTTGAAAATATACTCTGCTTTTCTTATGTCAGATCCTACTGACTGTTATTCAGCTCTTCTTATATTATCTTTTGCACTAACTTCAACTTTTTGTTTTTTTTATTGAGTTATTAATGTTATAGGATTCATTCTTTTATCATAGCTTTTCTTTTTAAATGATTTTATTTTGTTCATTCTTCAGGGATAGTTCTCATAGTCACTTATTCCCTGAAAATTACTTAATCTGGTCAAGTCTTCATTTCTCATTCATTCTGATGAGTAGTTTCACTAGATACGGAATTTGGGATGACAAGTTTTGGGGGGAGACATGTCAATGTCTCACCAGGTAGCCCAGGCTAACCTCAAACTTACTATGCACTCCACGCTGACACTGAACTTGCAATCCTCCTGCCTCTGCTTCTCAAGTGCAAGAATTATAGGTATGTGTGCTCCCATGCTTAGCATTGGTAGTCTTTTTCTTTAATCACTTGAAAAATACAATGCCACTTCCTTCTCACTTCCAGGGTTTCCAAGAGATACTGTCATTCAAACTGGTATATCCTCAATAGGCAATATGTTCTCACACTTTGGCTGTTTCCATGAACATGTTCTTTTGGTTTTTAGAATTTAACTATACTGTGCCACTTTAATAACCTCTTCGGTCTAATTATCTTCACGGAGAGCTAAATATATAATATGCTGTTCAAATTAAAATCTTCATGGTGTCAGCATACATAAGACCCGTGCAAACTCAGGCAGACAAAAACTCAACATAGAACTTGGAAAATGAACAGCATATCCCCATCTTATCTGAAGAAATATTGGCAAATGATTGTTGCTAGGTGGAGAAGAGCTGATCTTCCTGCAACAGGGAACTCTAGATAGGTTGACTAGATTTCACTGGATGGACTTGCACTGGGAAATATCTGGGGACATTGACTTGACACAGTGGACCTTAACATGGATGACAGAGTATATGGGTTCAAGTCGGGGGAACTATGGGAGGATGCTGGAGTGGATGGGGGGTATAAAGATTAAAACTGAGATATTCTGTATGAAATACACAAAATTTGATAAAAACAAATTACAATATAAAACTAAAATCTTAATTTACACTTATGAAAGTGTACTTTTCTATATAGAGAATCAATTATAAGGCTAGAGAGAATCCGAGGAAAATAGCAAGAGTAAACTACAGTAATCCAGCAAGAAATGTCTCTGAGTTTTTTGTTTGTCTTATTTGTTCTGAGACAGGTTCTCATTCAGTAGTCCAACTGGTCTGGAACTCACTATGTAGTCTAGGCTGGTCTTAAATTTGTGATCCTTCTGTCTCAGTGCTGGGATTCCAAGCATAAGCCACCATACCAAGCAAATGAATAGTTTTGTTTGTAACTGAAGTGGGAGCAATGGAGATGTAAACAAAGATATTTTGGGTCTCCTGGGAAGGCTCCGTGTATAAAAGTGTTTGCTCTGCAAAACTTAACATGGAAATTCAGTTCCCAGAACCGGTGGTGGAAGGAGGGAACCAGCTCTGAAAATTGTCTTCTGACCTCCACTCACATGCCTAAACACACACACACACACACACACACACACACACACACACACACAAATTGCATACTGGAATAATAAATAATAATTAAAATAAAATATTTAAAGATATTTTGGAGAAAAAGCAAATAAGGCACATCCATGTATTCATGTTAACAACTTCTGGCTTGAAGAACTAACTGGATGGGTGTACCATTTAACTATTTAATAAGTACCCCCTTAAAGCTATATTTGGAATGAAGACAGAAAGAAAGTATATCCTCTTCTAAAACACAAAGTCTCTGAGCTTCCATGACTTGACTGGAAGCGATATTACTCACAGGAAAAAAAATGCATCATACCAGGTTAGAGACATGGCTCAGCAGTTGAGCATGTGCTACTCTTGTAGAAGGTTCATTCCAGCACCGACATGGCAGCTCATAACCATATGTCACTCCAGTTCCTGGGGATCCTATGTACTCTTTTGACCCCTGCAGATACTAGGTACACATATGGCATACATATATGCAGTCAAGACAGTCATACACATGGAATAAAAAGAAATAAATCTTCTTTAAAAAAAAACAAATCTTTAAAAAAAAATGTGATGCTATATCTATCACTCAGACTCACATATTTACAACTGAGACCAAACTAAGGAGCTCCCAGTTACATGTGAATTAAAATCATTAACTGACTGCAATTTTCATTTAACTCCACATTATCAAGAGGCCAAAGGTATTTTCGTACTTCTAAATACATTGAATTTGCAATGGCTCTAACACTTGAATAACTGATAATTCATATGCTCCTCTACATCAACTATGTTACTTAGATTTCCAAAATAGTCTTTCCAGGAAGCCAGTAATCATGTTTTCCTCTCTGGCCTCTGGACTGCGATATTGTGTGGCAACTGAATACTAACACTGTGGATTTCTATAGATGACCTGCAAGAGGTTGCTAACTAAGTACACAAGTTGCTAGGCAACCTGACAAGCTGGGTAAGAAAGAAAGAGAGAATAGTGGAGGTTTCCATGACAAAGGAGAAAGAACCTATTTGAAGTCAAATAGATGAATATGTGAGTCTCTACTCAATTTTCAGCTGAGTGATCCTGACTAAAATCACTTAATCTACACCCTAATAGAACCAAGACAAGTCCAAATCCGAGCAGAAATTAGAATGTTTTGCAATGTGTACAAAGATCATTACGCATCTCTGTTATTATCTTGTTTTCTGTTTTGCTTCCTTTGTGCTGGGGCTTTAACCCAGGGATTCTCCTTTTGTAAGAAATCTCCTTACCACTGTTATTATCATTACTCTCCATGATGTCCCTTCTGTTCTCCATTTGCCATATGGTACAGTACTGTGGAAACTACAGTGGGGACGAGATATCTTATTGCATCCCTATTACATTTCTTATCTGAGTTTTCTAACTAATGTTTCAGAGAGGATAAAACTTTCTGGTAACAAAGGGATGCTGCTGTAAGGTACAGCAAAAATAACTGTTCTATAGAGGTTTACAAAATTGCAAATATATCTCCTTACATGCCTGCAGTACCCCCCAGGAAAGACTAGCATGTATGTACCTACCTCTCCTTTCGCAGTGGACAGGTATGGGTTTGGTTTCAGTATCTCTTCTGGCAACTTTTCTTGACATACAGAAAACTTTTGCCAACCACAGGACCGCTCATTTTCTAGGCTGTTACCCACTACTTTTGCTTAGAGGCTTCCTTTGGGGAAGCACAGAAACCTCCAAGATTCACAAAATACTTATAGATCTATAATATGTTTCACCAAACTCCTGAGACTCTTTTGTTTAAAATGCAATCCCACCTTCCAGAAGCCACATGGCTCATCAAAATCAAAATTCGGCAACTCAATGTTTTAGTAAGCACTTTAATGGACAGGATTTGCTGCCTCAAACGTGGAGATGTTCAACATTCCCTTCAGTACCACGTGCAGGAACCTGAAGGACTCATTTGCAGGTGTTTCTGGTTCCAGAGGTTGTAGATACTCATAAAAGCCAAAATTCATTCATTTACTTCTCTAAAATAGTCCATTGCCAAAGAAAATCAAAGCATAATTTGGATTTCCAACCCCCACCCTACCTCAAAGTTCCTATCATGCCTAAGTGGTCCTTAGTCTGTTGTAGGTTATCTTCATGGATCATCACTTGACCTCACTTAAATTTAAATTTATACTTGTCTAGGTCCTGAAAATAGAAATCTAACTAGTGAGCTTTTTCTTGGTATCTACTTTATGAGAATGATTAAGTTCTAAGAATTTCTATACTTTCCAGGAATTGGTGGGTGATATAAACCAGTTGCTTGAATTTGTAGTGTAGGATATTCTGATGGGACTTGCTTAGTCCCAACTGCCTCAGTCGGCAAAGAAAATAAAGACAAGGTGAAAGCATATGATTTCCATGTAAATAAATAAATGAAGATATACCCAGACAATTTTGATTCCATCCTCTGCCTCTCCATTACCCTTGAAAACACTGCTGGTGTATGGCCTCCTGGGAGTACATTCCAGATTGCTTTCAGAGGATTTCTTCAGTTTCAGCTATTACTGCTTGAGAGACAGAAGCTTGAAGCTATCATCAAGGATAGACCTCCTGTTGCGCCGTAGCTTTCTTTGTCGATGTTGGTACCAGACTACACCAACAAGTGCCAGAACCACAAGCAGAAGAAGTATACCCACGGCAACCAAAACAGAAGCCAGAATCTCAGCATTCTTTACGGGGATCTGCATGCCCAGCATCTTCACACTGCCTTCTCCAATGCCTCCTGGAATCGCTGCTGAAAAAGAGGAAGAAGGAAATGGGAACCCATGGATGGAGTCAACTTTTATAGCCATCTCCTGGAGAAATAAGTTCATACAAATAGGACAGAAGACCTGTCCCTGTCCTTCAAAAAATATCAGCTGATGAAGATAGATTCCAAAGTTACAAACCGAGAATCATAATATCACAGCTGAAAGTTTTCCTCGACTACGATGTACACTCTGCCCATAGAAAGACCTGTAGAAGAATCATTGTAATATACCTAAAGTCATTTGCTGGAGAAAAAAATAATAGTTGAGCTTGATCTGCATGGATCATCATGAGGGTAGAATTAAAAGCAATAAGGGAAGCTTCATAAAGAACATTGAGTCAATCCAGCTTACCAACGCTCATTTTACTATTAAATTATGACAACAAGCTGCCTCTGTGCCATCCGGACATCCATCCTTGTCGGTCAGTAATGTTGGAAAGAACACTCCTAATGATTGTACTAGTTTCCGCCATATAAAATTTCCATGGCACTGACCTGAAGAGTAAAGCTCAGATTCTTAAGCTACACATTCCAGTCCTCAAAATCCAGCTCTACCCTGCCTTACTAGTCTTATCTGCTATTATTCAGCCACAGAAACTCAGTCTTTATTTCCCCAAAATGATGACCCTTTTAGAGGTTTCTGTCTTTGTTCATGCTGCTCCTTTGGCCTGAATACCTTCTTACTTCTCATCACCTTTCCAGCTCCAGGTTAAAAGTTGTATGTCTGTAATCTATTTGGACAATTAATCATCCCTTCTTCCCAGTTCACAAATTGCCTGTACACTTCATGCTCCTATTATTTACCTACTCTATCTATGACCTGGGGCTGAGTGACCTACTCCCTACTGGATCTTAGTTTCCTTTTTTCATAAAATGAAGGTAGTGACCATGCAAAAATAGAGGCTTATTATCAGACTTAAATAGGTTAATACAGAATATTTTGCATGGCACCTGGTAAATAAGAAGTACAAAATAATTGTTAGATGTTATTACTGTTTACCCTTTTTACGCACAGCATGTAGCATTACAATTATTGTTTCTGTGTCTCATTCCATTTTTAGGCCATGGAAAGTAGCAGTTTTGTCATAGTTATCTTTGTGCTTCCATTAATTGACACTTGTTTGATGAATGCATAATTGGATGAATGTGTTCTAGCAGAACTAAGAGAAGATGGAATGTAGTGAGTTCAAATAGACACTGAAAAGCATTCTGGTTTTGAGTTTACTTTCTATCATTTATTACACGTGCAACCCCAGACAAATGGCACATATAGAAATTTTTGAGTTTTAATAGACCAACATATTTTTCAATTATTTCTACATGTGAGATTCTATGAGAAAAGTATGTATATACAATATGCATGCATGTGTTCACACATATACGCATAAGATATGTGAACATACATAAAAATATCTATGTATATAGATACCTATATATGTAATAACTGAAATATATATATAATTGTTAAGCTTTTGAAATTGAAGTAAATGTAGTCTAATTCTCATTTCACTGTCACTTGATTTCTTTCTAACCCCTCCAAGATATATTCTTACATATATCATGAGATACTTAGGTAGATCATTAGGACTTCTCTAATGAGAAGCTAACTTTCAGTGCAGCTGGAAACCTCCAGAGGAAACACATATTCTCTAATGCCTCTTTTGTGTTTGTCTGGTTTTGATCTTTTGATACAGAGTCTTACTATTAGTCCAGGCTGGCCTAGAACTATGATTCTCCTGCTCCACTTCCCAAATGTGCAGATTATAGGCGTACAATAACACATCTGGGTCTGATAGCCCTTGCAACATACATAACTTTCTGAATTTTTCCTAGTACAAGGAAAACAGCATGAAGAATGAAAGCACTATTTGGACCTAAGCTTCATAGGTCAAGAGTTTTTATTTTCTCAAAGCTAAAAAATGACTGGTTCCAAAGTTATAACGTTTAAGTACTCTTAACGTTTAGACTAAGAGAAAAGGGAAAAGAATAAATATGTCATTGAAAGATGGTGTTCTAGTCTCACATTGTCCCTGCAGGAATTCTTGTTTATGCTAAACCTCTTTCAGGTCTAACCCAGCAGGACTTGGAATTTTCTTCTCCCTCATATGATGGATTGAGAGCTAAGAATACAGCTTTCTAACTGAGGATAAGGTTGTTTTCCCTGGCTTCACAGGTTGCAAGGTAGACTGCGAGAGAATAAACATGTTCAGGATAGCTGAATGTTGATTCATTGGATTCTGATACCTTAAAGAAATCTCACGACTCACCTTTCAGTAGTATTAGAGATAACTAGAGATAACACACATTTCAGAGATCTGTTTCCCCTCTCTCTCTCTCTCTCTCTCTCTCTCTCTCTCTCTCACACACACACACACACACACACACACACTCACTCTACATGTAACTTTCAAGTCTGTAAATCATTTTACATACCTTTTCCAATCTTGGTGGTAATGGTAGTGATAGTGCTGAAATGTTCTGGGGGAAGAAGACAAGAGGTTAGTCCTGTTATTCTATTAATCTATAGGTTCTCTATGGGAGATTTAGATTGCTTGAGAGAATTTCTTTGTGGAATGTGCTGCTTTATTGAGGAGAAACTACTCTTTGATTGGATACGAAACATGCTTTGTAGGAGGGAATCCATGCCCAGTACTATAAAACTTGTTAAAAACCCATAGTGGAGGATATCATAGGTGCTAAGGGGAAATGAATACTGTTATTTGGCAAACTCGCACAACATCAAATTGCCTTCTCAATATTTAAGTTTATACTCATAGATATAAATTACTCTCGGCTTTAATCAGAGAGGCCTCTCTTTCTAGTAAACAGTGGGTGAATGTAGAAGCTCATGGCTACCTGGGACATTGAGAATAAATGACAGAAGAGTGCTTGATCCTAAAGAAGACATTTATACCATTATTATAAGACTCGGGGAACACTGTGTAAGAAAGTGCAGAAAGAATGTAAGAGTTGGAGTAGGGAGAAGGGTTGCAACATGTCACCTCCTGAGCAAGACACAGTCATTGCGATCATGAACAAACAGCAGTCATGGATGCCTGTACTGTGTCTGCACAAGAATGGGCTCATCGATAGTCAGTCATGGATGGAGGAGAGGCTCGGGGGAGCCTTCCCATCACTGTTGATCTATTTTTGCTGATAGATTCAGGAACATGGGGAGCCATTTTCTTTAGTTATGTATCCACTGATGACCCCACCACTCCCCAATGGATAGCTCTAATCTGTTCTCAAACAGATGGTCCTGGTAAAACTAAATGGGTCAAAAAACCAATCCGAGAAAGGGAATGATAGCAATAAGGACAGGGTGTGTTAGAGATGGAAGGGGGGTAAAATTGGAGAGACTACTATCAAAATACATTATGGACTTGTTTGAAACTGTCAAATAACCAAGTTAATCCATAAAAATTAATATATGTTAAGCTGATTTTGAATGATGACAGTAAATAAGGGAAAGAGCATAGGAAGCCAAAATGGAAGTTACCCTTTTGCTTTTATTTACATGTTTCTTGGCACTTCCTTTACCATCATTATAGTTGAATATCACACTATTTCTCTTCCCAGATTCCCCATTCTCCCCTCAGAAAGCCCCTGCTCCTTGTCAAACGTACTTCTCTACACATTCGATCCCTTCTCAGAATACTTATTCCTTTTTTCTTCAATGAGGTTGACCTTTTTCTGTGGCATATGCTATTAATATATTTATACACTCACAATTCCACTTGTCAATAATTGTTCCTCACACTTTAGTAAAGATCTAGTTTTTGAGGCAAATATTATCCAACTAGAAAAACTAAAATCATTTCTTATTACTCTTACCTACTATTTCTCTTCATCCACAGAAGCCTTTGGTTATAACCACAGTCTTTCTCAATTCCTAACATGGCTGTTGACCTAGCCATGTTTACAGACCTTTTCAGTGTAAAGACTTTTATATCCACTCCAGCTCTAGCAGTCATGGTCATACTGGATTGGTGATCCAGACATGTACCACTTTAGTATCCAAAATCAAACAAAAACTTCCTTTCTTTTCAGTGTACTATTATTTAGCTTACTAAAATCTTGTTATTCTTCCATTGTTAGACCTTTAGTTCCTAAATTATTTGACTTTCCACAACCTACCCCTTTCATCTATTTCTTCTCTTCCATTCATGACCAGGTTAGATACCATGGTATACTACTTCAAGCACTAATATACAAAAATACAGTAACTGCCCTTGTCTTGTATTTTTCCTTATATGCTCAATAGTGCCCGGTGTGTTTGTAGGGGGAGGTGGAATCACATACATAATCATAAAGACTTGAATTCTTTGTGTCAAATTTTAACTAAGTCCTGAAAATTATACAGCAAAATAATAATGACTTTATTTACCATCCTCAATATAGTTACTGCAACACAGCCTAATTTCCTGAACAGCAGATTTCCTCTCAGCAGATGCTATATGATACATGACAGAGGAATCAGAGACCATAATGCAGAAACTCTGCCCATCTACGAAGACCTTCCTGTAAACCTATACAGCAAACCTCATTTTTTCTGTGTTTTCTCATCACAAAGGAAAGACTATCTTCCTCCAGTATTATATTAATCTTTCACTTTAGCTATGTTTCTCATCACTCGCTGCTTCATCAGGAACTTTGTTTCAACAATTAGCGTTTTTCTTCTTCTCTTTAACCCTTTCTTCTGACTGCCCTGTTAGCATACGTGGAGTTAGAACAAAATAGAATCAAGCCATACTGAGGAATAAACAAAAGGCAAACAGATTAAGATTTATGGGTTGGATTTTGTTGTAGGCTGACATGAGATGCCATGATGATACATACTGAGGCAGCCTCAAATGTTGGATGACTAATATTTGCGAATGCCCCATTATTAGAAGACAGCCTGTTGTCTTGAACCTACAGTGCCTTGATGACATATCAATTTATAAACTGGCTTCTGTTTTCCGGACTGTTATAATATGGCATCTGGGTTATAAGGAATTATACCTAAGTAATAAGTAGGTGCAACATTCTAGCATTATGGTTTACCAAACAGTAAAATTTTTACTAATACAGGGAATCATAACATACTATAATTTTGTCTTCTTATATGAACTAAAGAACAGAGGTGTATTCTCTACCCTGGGTTGTTAAATCTGAGCAGCCAAGGACATCTTTACACTCTCTATGCCTTTTGATAAAGTGATAATGGTTGCCAATTTCAGAATATTTATTCACATATTACCATTTTACAAAGCAGTAGGACATAAAAAAATTCATTGCTGTGGGCCTACAGTACATCTTGGAAGGGATATAATACTGGGGGCTAGACGTAAGTCATGTAGAATAAGAAGTGAGACATTTAACCTTTTATGGTTCTAAAATATAAAAGCAACAGAGCCTATCTTTTTATCCTTTGTGAAGAACAAAAATAATTAAAAAGTAATTGGCCCATCTTTCCTTTCCGTATAAAAAGTACAAGGGAAAAAGTTTCCACTCTTGGTAACAATAATATCTGGGATAAGCAGTAATTGGTCAAAATCTGTTTCTAACCTTTGATAGAATAGAAAACAACTGCCATTCATAGACATCACAAAACCATGGTTAGAGTAACAATTAGAATTCTTTTTCTTCTCTTGTGAAAAGGACTCATTCACTAGAAATTGAGGTGTGGGGGCGTCAGTGAGCACATGCTTAACATGTGTAAGGCCCTGGGTTCAATCCTCAATGCTATGAAAACAAGAATAAAACAAATGATTCATGATCTCTAGGCTGATCCTTGGAAGGAAAAAAGACAGAGGGGTATAGAAAGGGATAAAAGGAAGTGGAGAGAACAGGCAGAGTTGTGGGGATTCAACTACCGTTTTTGAAATAGAAAGAAACTAGAAAGAGTGTGTGCCCAATATTCTTGTGCCCTCTGCCCACGGTCCACCTAGGACTTATATTCAGACACTACTAAAATGGTATTTACCTATCAGGAACGACGGTAGACATTTATCCCATGGCCACCATGTCAACGAAATGCTATAGGTAGGGGGTGATTCACATCTGGATAGCCTTGGTTGTTCTTGCCCCCTATAGCAGTTCAACTTTCCCTGGAGACTTACTGTTGTGGTTCCTGGGTATAATACACTCTACCATGTTCTGCTGGACTTGGCTGACTTGTAGACATTTGGGGGCTTTTATTTATTTTATTTTGTAATTTTCATTTGTCTGGGGAATGTGGTGTGCTTGTTTGTGTTTGTGGTGTATATGTTCAGGTGCATGTCATGTGCATGGCCCATGCCCGTGAATACAAAGGCTATAGTAAGAAATTGGGTGTTTTCTTCTATTTCTCTCCACCTTATTCATTTGAGACAGGGTCTCCCACTGAACCGGAAACTTGCCATTTTGGCTTGCCAGCGAGATCCAAGGATTTGCCTGTCTCCACCCAACAACACTGGGATTATAGGCACATGCAGTCATATCCAGCTTCTCTTACAAGGGTGATGGGGATTCAAACTCTAGTTCTCATGCTTGTATAGCAGACGGTCTTACCCATTGAGACTCTTTCCAGTCCTAGATGTTAGATTTTATTGACAATGACACATCGTAACAAGATTCAGTAACAATGTTCCTTGAAAGGGGACTTCTATGATACTCTAATGATGAATGTATAAGTAAATTGAATTTATATCAGAGAGTATACAGGTTCACTAGACAAAGAGCCCACCCAGTTTTGGGTTCGGCAAAAGCAAGTGCGCTAAACAGGTATAAAACTAATGAGGATTGATGCAGGTTTGCTGCTTGCAATGGAGGGTAAGAAACATTGCTTGGGGGAGGGGTATCTAAAGAGGGGCCCTACACTTTACAAAACCTGGTTCCTCTGGGTCACAATAAGAAGTGCAAGAGGCTCTTTAGTGTTACCTGGTTCTTATAGGCTAAACAAAGTGTCAAAATGACCCACCTTGAGGAGTTTCATCTTACCTTCTCGAGACAAGACAGTAAAGATGGTCTCCATGCCAGCATGGACATGGTCAGTCACATGGCAATGCATCAACCATGTCCCAGGGTTGCTGGCTACCATCTCTACAACCTCAAAAGTTCCTGGGAAGAGATCCACCACATCTGCCCGGTAGCTGTGTCCATTCTGTAAGAAATAGTGCAATAAAAAGGAATAGGAATAAATGTATAGTCATTGTTTCACAGTTCATAGGAACTAAAAGTGTTTGATTGACCATGTTAGGGACATAAGAATCTACAATGCTCACACCATATAGAGACTTCAGTGTGAATTTTATTTATCTCTCCTAGGGTCCACCCATGCAAACTAAAACAACAAACCACTTTTCTCTTCCTATTTTTTTCACAAAGTGGCAGAAATAAAAGATATTACCAGTTCTTTCAGGGGGCTCAAAACAAGTTTTTCCATAACTTTCTGTTGGCTAAAATCTGGAGAATTTAGTATAAGCTCTGATCCCCAGGATGGATCCATATCTTTCCTTGAGAAATGAACTGAACTTAGTTTCTTCTTTGTCATAATCTTCATCAGCAGTTCTAGATCTTTAAGTCTACATCGGTGCCTCCAACTCTATGCTCTTTTCCTGAGTTTAAATCTTTTTCAAAATTGTGTATTATCCTATATAGTTCCTGAATTGAAACATTTATTACAATGTATTTAAGATTTTCAGGGATTCGAAGACACTGAAATTGTTGCTCTTAGGATCACTGCTCACTAAACCTGAAGTCATTAGTTGAGATCCAGAGCCAATGATTTCTTCCAATTCCTTACCTTGTAAATTAGCCATTCTCCTCAATATCAGAAGAAAAAGATAAGGTCTACAATAAAGTGACTATCCTTGGATATACAATTGACAAGAATCCCTGACTCAATGTTCCATATAGTAGATTTCTATATTCTTTAACTATTACCTTATTTCTTGTTATTGCCTTCTTCAGCAGCTTTCAATATATTTTTATAATCATCCCTGAGGGACTCAACCTTCTTTTCAGCTCACCTGATAGAGAAAACTCTCTGCATGGAAGTGGACCGTGTGGATATCAGTATCTTGGCCCATGGCTAGCATGTACCAAGCTACTCGTTCTCCTTGGTACATAGTAAGACCTCTGAGGTTAGCATAGAGTTTCCCATTGATGGCTGTAGAAAAAGAAAATGTCTATTACATCTTTCCTTTGGATTCCCATTTGCCAGTGTCCTAGGTCTAGTCCCTGTCATTTTTAATGATAGTGTTAGGCTCCTAATTTGCCACATCTCTAGTCCATCTATCTCTCTTCAGTCTATCTTCTACAGTGATGCTATGAATTACCCCTCTAAACAATTAATCTATCACTCTTGTTGTAGTGCTTAAAATATGTTTTTAGTTTTTTCTGTTTCGGTTATTAAATTTTTTCATTGAATTTTTGTGCCTTTCATACAATATAGCTTGATGGTATTTAGATCCCCTCTCCTATCCACATGTGGCTCCTCTCTTTTCAAAAAGCAATTATTTGACTCTGTAGTTCAACCAATATAGTCATTTACACTACAATAATATACCACCTTCCCAGAGTTACCCCTACTAGTCAATATACTAATACGAACTGCTGAGATTTTTTTCTTGCCATCCTCTACATGATCTATGCATGTTCTCTGGGCCCTTAGTTTTCTGAATTTCCCTGAGTTTCCCTTTCAGAAGTCCTGATTCCTTTTTCTTAACTTTAAAAATTTATTGAGAATTTCATACATGCATAGAAGGTGTTTTGATCAAATCCATGCCCACTCCTCCCCTCCAACTCCACCTCCTCCCATATCTCCAAATCACTTTTTTCTGACAATTTCATGTACTCTGTTTTTTTAAATGGGGCTTTTTCCTACACTAACATTCCCCCCTCTGAAGACTGCAATACTGTAGTGCCCACCTGTAGCTAAGGGAGACAACCCACTATTGTTCTAAAATGATGGCTAAATTTGTTTTCTCCCCCAAGTCCTGATTCCTTTAAACCATCCTTAAAACTTCATACTCTCACCCTCAAGAAAACTTTTCTGATTTCCTAAGCTCCTCTCTGTACCCCTAATTTCTTATATCATGTTCTATTTCTGATCTCTAATACTATCAGTATGACTCATTAGAAGTCTGCAAAGCTATCTTATGTTTGCTTCTTATAAATTGTGGGAGCTTATATCTCCAAGTTGACTTAGGTTACTAATAAGCAGGAAATAAATATTTATACTATATTACTATAGATTTGTTGCATATAACAGAACCAGCAAACATCTCTATTCATAATAAGTATTGTCTTAACATATTCTCTTCCCACCCATGTCACTTCCTATGCTACAAAGCACTGAACAACTCACTACTAAATTAACTCATATTGGCAGAACTTTACCCAAAACAATTTCCTCCTACATCTCATGTTCCCATAGAGGGGTGCTAATTTGTACTCTACATCTCATAAGGGTAAATCATGAAAAGAATAGTTACAGTACTTCTCTATGTCTACCACCACCAAATTGTGGATTTAGCAGAAAGAACCAAAAATGCTCATGTAAGCTCCTTTTAGAGATTTACTATTTCTGATCACAGAAAGAGGTACAAATTGATTTTATTATGGGTAAGATTCTCCCTCACTCAATGGAGAGCGATCTTATTGACCATTTATGTCTAGAATAATGTAGAAAATCTATCTGTTGCAAGGTAAGGTATCAGCAAGCACAATTAGTAGTAAAACTAAATTCACTACTCCATTTAGCTTTCTCAGTAATAAGGCTTGTATTTGGTGTTCAGCATTTCTTTTTCTCAGTTGGTTCAGAAGTCTAGAAGCGTAGGTAGAATATTGTTTACTTGCCCCCTTGGACTCTGACATTATTTATCTTTGTATTTATACTGCTAATGATGAGAGTGATGAGTGTATTTATAGTGCTATATGAATAGATTAGATGGACTAATACCTGAAGTTTGGATAAATGGACACAAGCAGATGAAAGTGGGCATTAGTCAAATCCTACATTAGCAGAACCTAAATGTGCCCTCATTTCCTCTTTGTTCTGATCCATTTATTTCTGTGACTTGACAGAAACTAAAAAGTTCACTTTGTGAAGTTTGTGAATCATCTGTTCTAATGTGAATCACTCACCTTTCCATCAAGGGGAAATAGATAAAGTCTGTGGGACAATGGGGTACTACTTTAGAGTTCCATTAGAGTCATTATCAAAGCTGCACCTCCCTCTCAGATCAAAGAAATCTTGGGCTAGAAGTGGTGGTGAGAAATCACTTCATACATTCCACTGCACTTAAGCTCTCCCTCTTATTTGAGATTCTCTCTTCTTTGTGAAATTCTACCAGATATCTAGAGCAAAGGAAGGCTTTGATGATGCAGTTTCCCCCTTAATCCATTCAAGAATAAAACAGTTCTTTATTGGATGTAATACAAGCCCAGTATGTGAGTCTCTGGGTCTGTCTTTTCCAATTATTCCATGTAAATTTATAAGCCATAAAAAAAACCAATTGTCCTTCATTTGTCTATACTGACAAAACAGATCCTGATTTTAAAATAGTGATTAACAAAATAGTTTTGAGGAAAAAAGACCGCTGAATTTTGAAACAGGGAGGCCTTAATAAGTTGACTAATTATATATAGAGAGTATCATAAGTCTTTGTCTTGGCTTATTTAATGTGGTCAGATTTGCTTCTGCCATCATGGTAACTTTACAGAGTTAGCTTCCTGTTTTCTTAACACCTGACCTAATCTGGACCATGTATCTGCTTTGAGTATATAAATGTATAAAAATAGGATTTATTCTAATTCCTTCCCATTCCACCACCCAATTTTCTCATTTTTGCTGGAGTTATGTGCCTGTAAGTACAGATGGGCCTAGCAGATCATCTCATGCAAACAGCAGGTACTACTCTGAAATAGGAGTAGCTTCTTTTCTACAGACCATGCATTTTATTGCTCTCCAAGAAAGTTGCATCCTGTAGGTTAACATGGCTTGGCTCTTGGGGCCCATAGGTTACCACATTCTCCTTCAGATACCAAGACTGGTTCTCATCAAAGATCAAAAACAACAAGGCAAATTCCTGGTCCATATCACTCCGGCTTCCATCGGGTTCCAGGACACCCTTTCGGCAGATGACTAAGGGCCCCACCAGGCCACTATACATGTCCTGAGGAAGGAAGGAAGGGGAAAGGGAGAAAGCCGTGATGTTATCCTTGATGGCAGTACTCTATAGGGAGTCGGCTCATATATAAGCATACTCTATTAGCATTCCATCGTAATGTCTTACATCATAATAAGTACCTTACTATGACATTTGAGTTCATTCCAACCATCATTTAGGACTTAGGTAAGATGTGATATACATGCTATGCTTTAGCTAGATTGAACTGTTCACTGAGTTTCCAATCTACCAACCTAAAGCCTTTTTAGGCAGCTTCTTTTGCCTGCCATACCCTTCTTTGAACAGATCCCTTATCGGAGGGCACACTGTTTAGATTTCAAAGCCCACAATGCAGTTACTTCTATTCTAATACTTTCTCTACTTCCCTTTTGCTCAGATGGACCACATACTGTGAAAGTGGAAAATAACTTATATTTGTATCATACAAAGCCCAAGAAAAATACCTACAGTACAGCAGACTAAATACATTGCTGACAGCTTATTATGACTGAGTGGCTAGGCAGACAAAACAATTTTTCAGATTAGGAAACAGAGGCAGCATAACTTTACTCCAGTAGCAATATATAGCCATATTGGGTACTAGAACCCTAATTTTCTGACAGTCACTCCATTATTTTAAAACTATGAGAACATATAGCCTTACAGTGTCCAAAAAGAACGGACAAGAAGGAAAATCCTCAGGACAAATACATGATGATACTACCTTCATCGCTCTTCTTGAATAATAAAATAAGCCCAACATTTGGGGAAATTTCCTCAAACTCTAGGCTCTGCTATCACCGAGATGAGTTTCTGCTGTCATCGTTGCTTTGCCAGGCATTTTGCCCATTTTTGAGATTCCTCTGTAGACATTCAAGCTTGTCTTTACCTTGATGGGATCCACTGCAGAATAATAAATCCAGGAAATGCAGGCAGAGTCATTGGGTCCAGGACCAGATCTCTCTGGGATGTTCCACTGGTAAGTAACTACTTCACCTAAAAAACGTAATAAGGAACCTTCTGTTGGACCAAGTCAGAAATTTCTCTAAACTTCTACGTCTCCCCAAAAGGCTATGGCAGGTGAGTCTCAGAACCTTTAAGATCCTTTTTTATCATTTTTGTATCAGGCTCCATTGATTTTGGTTGCTTTTTTCACTTCTCTGGAAAATCCTCAACATTTTCTTAGGAAGAAAAAAAAAAAAGACCTTGCAAGACTCAGCAAGTAAGCAAACCTCACACGTCCCAGGACTTTCCCCAAGAATATAAGACTATAAAAATTGCTAAAGTAGAGGAGACTCTATAGGGACATCCAGAGATTCAAATTTAGTGAGTTATCACCTGTGATGGGGAGGGCTTTTCCACGATGCAATGGGCTTTAAATCATCCATACTTCTGTAAATAACCTCTCACTCATACTGACATAACTAACCTCAATAAACTCACTGGTTCAAACACTAGACTTTGGTGGAATGGTTAGTTTGGCAAATCATCACTGTCATAACTGGGGTTCATATCTCCCTAGGAAGTAACTAATAACAACTTCCTCTGCCTCTAGCCTTGCCCTCTCGAACCATGTTTCCAATTGATCCCATATTTATCTTCTCTAACAACTTTGTTTATGGTTCACATGTAATACAATTTTCTCATTACTAGTTAACGACTCTTTAATTGTATCATTGTACATTTATATACATTCATAGAATTATCACATTATAATGCACATTCAATTAATATAAACAGTAAAAATAAAATGTTGCCCCCAAATTAAAAAAAAAACACATTCACATGGTTCTATAACCACCATGATGATCCATTTTAGAACAATTCATCACACCAAACAAAGTCCCCATACTCCTATTACTCTCTAATCTACTCACCACCCCAATGTAACCACAAACCTGTTTTCTTAATTTTAACATTGTATTATTTTTATGTGTATGAGCCTGCATGCATGTAAGTGCACCCATGTTGTGCAATGCCCATGGTGGTCAGAAAAGGGTGTCAGATACCCTGGAAGTAGAGTTATGAAAAATTCTTTGCCACCATGTGGGTGCTGGGAATTGAACCTGGGTCTTCTACAGGAGCAGTTACTGCTCGTAACCTCTGAGTCATCTCTCCAAGCCCCACAAGCCTGTTTCTATCCCATTCTGAACATTTCGTGCAAATTGAATCATGTTATAGTGCTTTTTTTACAGGTTCTTTCATTTTAGATGATATTTTCATGATCTATCCATGCTGCCATGTTTATCCATACATAGTTGCTCCTTATTTTCAAAGCATATTCGATTTTATGGATATACCACATTTTATTCATTCATCAATTGATGGATATTGGGTCATTTCTGCCTTGAAGATATTATGAATGCTATTGCTATCAAGGACTGGGGTTGTAGTTCTGTGGAAAAGTCCTCTCCTGGCATATGTGATGCCCATAGTTCAGTCCAGAGTCATTCATTTATCAATTGATGGGTATTTGGTCATTTCTGCTTTGGGGATATTATGACATTACTAAAATCAAGGATTGGGGTTCTGATGTCCATAGTTTGGTCCAGAGGACCATAAAAAGTGCTATTTTCAATGATCAAGTTTTTATCTGGATATATGTTTTCATTACTTTTGTGTATGTATCTTTGGGTGGAATTACTGAATTGTATAATAACTGTAATTTTTAACTATTTGAGGAAATCATTTGGAAATGTTCTAAAGCCGTGAAACCATTTTGCATTCCCAAACACATCAGTGTGTAGGTTCTAATTTCTCGACATTCTTATGAAAACTAGGTATCTTTTTCTTTATTTGGTTTCAGCAGAGAAGTTTTATTTTATTGAACTTCTGATTTGTTACTC